AGAGGCGGGCAAAGGCAGCCGGTTCTCCGATCCAGGGCCAGGGTCAGTGCCTCCCGGCTCTTGCCTTCCGCCTGTGTTTCCAATCACCGTCCTTCCCCTATGGCCTCCCATCATTGCCCCTATGTATGCAAATAAACCGCCATCTTGGCTGGCAGTTAATTTGCATATAGCCCTGATTAGCCAATGAGAAGGGTAGCGGTCGTACGCCAATTACCATCTTTCTCTTTTATTAGATAGGACTAGAGGCCTGGTGCACAAAATTCGTGCACAGGTGTGGTCACTAGGCCTGGCCGGTGATCGAAGTGCGAGTATCTGGCATGGAAGGGCAGGTTCCAGCTGACCTCTGAGCCCTGGGCAGCACCTGGGTCCCCAGGACCCCACGCACCTCCTCCGCCAGAGTCATGGTGCCTGAGTCCCCACATGGAAATGTGGTGAGTGCAGTCAGACACCACGGGCCGGGGCACAGTGTGGGCCTCTGGCCACCCAGCGGTGCCGCACGGAAGCCAGGAGGCCAGTGCGCTCTCTCCCGGCCAGCCTTGCAGACCGGCTCCCGTGCGAACCCGTGGGGAGCCCAACTGGCCCCTGTGGTACCAGCAAAGAGGCCGCGCAGGTGCGGGGCAGGCTCCTTGAGAGCGCCTGGCACCTGAACATGGGGGCTTCCCCAGTGCGGGAGCCCTGGCGTCCTGGGGGATGGTAGCAGGGGGAGTTAGAGCGAGCTCAGCAGACACCCCACATTCTCACTGCACCTCTGTCCCCGTCACCCCCGCCCCAGGTAGCCAGTGAGAGGTTGCAGCGCTTTGCCAACACCTGCCATGTTCCGCACCACCCCCTGGTGGTCAGCACATGTCATAGTGAGCAGTTGAACTCCCGGTTGAGGGGACAATTTGCATATTAGCCTTTTATAAAAAGCTAATATGGAAACTGTCCCCTTGAGAGTTTGACCAGGGGTTTGATCGCTCATTATAATGTGCGATGACCACCAGGGGGCAGCGTGGAATGAAGGAAGGCCCCGGCCAGCAGCCAGAAGGCTCCAATTGGCCCTGATCGCTGCCCAGATTTAGGGACCCTACTCGTGAATGAATTTTATGCACCGGGCCTCTAGTATGTAGATAATTTATGCTCCCTGTACTTTGCCAAATGCTACTTCTTCATATATATGTCATATATATCTACTTTTAATAGAGCAAAGGCTTAAGGGTTTCTGTATGGAATATATACCCTGTTGTTGGAACTATGTGAATGATATCCGATTTTTAAATTTAATTCATTGGGGTGATACTGATTAATAAAAATTATATAGGTTTCAGGTGTACAATTCTATAATACATCATCTGTACATTGTATTGGGTGTTCACCACTCTAAGTCAAGTCTCCTTCCATCAACATTTATCTTACTATAACTTCCTTTCCCTCTGGTAATCACCATACTGCTGTCTGTGTCTAGAGATTTGTTTTGTTTGTTTGTTTAATCCCTTCACCTTTTCCACCCAGCCCTGAAACCCCTACTCCAGATTGTTGTTGTTTTTTAACTGGAGGAAGGAAAAGCCAGCCCTGACAAAAACTAAATCTTTATACCTGACCCACAAGAACTGGCAATGTCATAAGGGTTCACAAACTGTGGTAGTATGTAAGCAGAAGTATCTTAAGCTAACAAGAGAATATTAATAGTAGAAATTGAATCCCTATTATGCCATGACTCCAAATCACAATTTTCACCAAGCTACTATGAATTCATACTATGCAGAAATTTTAATATAAATAAAGCTTAATGGAGAAAAGGCACCGTTAATAATTTATACAATATGCCCAAAAATATCAAACTGCTATGTTGGGTAAAATAGGTACCATAAACTTGGGTTTAATATCAGTGGCATTTGTACTAGCTTAGCATTCTATACCCAGAAGTAAAGCACACATTTCCTGGGTCCCTGACATCCTCACTCAGGTGAGCACTAACCCAGAAGAGCATATTTGTTAGTTTCCCTTGGGAAACTTGTAAAATTAAAAATGCGGTTTGGAGCATAATTTTGTAGTCAAGATAACTGTGACCACTTAGGGTAATAGCATATTTTGACTGGGCAGTTTTTCTACAAATATAGCACTCTCTTACCTCAAAAGTGGTGAAATGGCAAATGTAATTATCCTCAGGGTAAGTCCTCATTCCTAAAGCCCCTTGGGTTAACTGCCATTAGATTTATTATAAGGGATTCACAACAAAGAACTCAAAATTATTGGGAGAAGCCATCGGAATTTCAAGTTAAGAAACACTGCTTGTAACATTGAGAAGAACCGCAGTATACTTCAAACGTACAAACGCCACAGAACTTCTTGATGTAAAGTATCCAGACACTTCCTATGCGTATTTCATTTTTAGGCTTGTGCATGTTTACATGTGAAACAGATGTGACTCAATTTAAGACAATCTGGTTGGAATGCTTTTCCTCACAACCGAAAAACTCCACTTACTTTCAAAAGGAGTCACACCACTCCGTTCCTGTAAGAACATGAGGAGTTTCCAGAGGGCACCGCATCTGAACTAAATTCCACACAACTGGTGAGTTCGCATGCAACTCTCCAAGAAACAGTTAACAACATATTTTGTCTTCACAGCTACCTTAATGAGATATTTTTTATTCTCTTCATTTTAAAATTGAGGGTTTTCGCCAGAGTCACAAAGCTAACGGTAGGATATGAACCAATGAAACCTTTTTAATTGCCTCACTGTCCGTAGATGTGGATTCTAGTTCTGCATCGACACCATTCTCAACACCTGGGCCCCACAGGAAGGAGGAGTTCACCTCTGCTCTGA